CTAATCAATCTGACATTCAGCAGACTTGTCTCAGACTTAAACCCAAAGACCGAATATAGGGGTCTTACCAACTAGAATAGGGTCTTGGGGTACGCTATACTATGATCAGAATGAGAAACCCCAAAATAGTACTGGTCATTATTTAGGCTTCTACAGTACACCTCTCCTAAACCTCCACCTTAAGCTTAACCTTTAACTCGTCTTGAATCTAACTAATACAGGAGCCTTAATAAGTAGAAAAAGGGTTTTTGGGGGTATATGATACTATACTTATAATACGGAAGCCCCAAAAAATAGTATAGGTAATTCTTAGGGCCGCTATATTAGTCTCTGCACCTAGGGGCTAGGGGCATGGCAGATTCATTGACTCCATTTCGAGCTTCAAAAGTTAAGGGTCTCGGGCTTCGAGTTTAGAGCCTTAGGGCTTTTCCGTCGAAGGACATATGGGAGTTTCCGAAAATAGGGCACCCTAATATAGTACCCTGAACAATATGACCCTTCTTATAAGCACCCCGAAATAAGGTACCCCTAATTTTCGGAAACTCCCAGCTAGGGCTAACGACTTTAGGGTTTCATCGCTCAGTGCTTAGGGTTCGTGTTTGCTTTAAGGTTTGTAATCCCTACGCACCAAGCTTCGTAAACCCCACTCGGAGGGTCGGCCCAACGAAGATCCGTTTTAGGGTACTGTACATGTAAACTCTGCTTGTTACCTACATACTAAGTGCCCAGACCTCTCCAAGGTTAGGGTTCAGGGCATAGGGTTCAGGGCCTCCATACTAAGTGCCCAGACCCTCCAAGTAAACCCTAACTCCGCGAAGCTCTGCCGGGATCCGCGCAACGAAAGGCTTTCTTATCAGCGAGCCGTCAAGCTCTGAGAGCCATGCAGTGTTTCTCGGCGAAAGGATCGGATAGGGGTATCATTTTGAGCAGGCTCCTGGGGTATGTTTCTGTTATTGTATGTATAGTGTGTATAGCTATACGGGTACTCGCTAAACCCTAAACCACGCTAAGGCAGTTTTATTTCCATCAAAATTTCAGGCCTCAATGGGCATTCCTGCTCTCGGGGTATTCGGTCTGGAAGAAAGGGCCAAGGAATGGAGTTTCTGTTTCATGCAAAGGGTTATCATGTGCTGTACCCAGTCCCAATACCCCTTAATTAAGGAATTAAGGATTATAGCTTGAACAATAGGGGGCTTAATATTATGATTCAAGGTATATTCCTTAATTGAGGGTATTGGGTTCTCTGGGCATGAGGCGCTCTTTCGCTTAGGGTATTGACAGACAAGCCAAATCCGGATCACAAACCGATTAAAGGGGATTTATTAGAAGGGACCCCCACCCTGTAATAGTGACTATAAGGATTATATTGGGGCCCTATTATATTCCTATTATACCACTATTACAGGGTGGGGGCCCCTTCTAAGGGATTTATCTGAACCCGCAACCCTCAACCCAAGTCGTGACAAGGACTGGCCTAAACCCTAAACCGATGGTCACGGCTCCTCTCAAGCATCCTCAATACTTCAGCTTGGTCATGGATTGCTACAGTTCCGAGCTGCCCCACCACCGACCCCTGCGAACAATCCTGGAAGCCACTTCAAGATCTGGGTTTAGGGTTTAATTTACGGGCTTTAATAATGAGAATAGGGTGTTGGGGCCCATTATACTCTAATGATAATAAGGATTCCCCAAAATATTAAAGGTAATTAAGGCCCTATATTAAGGCTCAGGGTTTTGGGGGTACCCCTGAGCTCAGAGCCTCACAGCCAGAAGCCCTTTCTGTTCTTATCGCCTTGACCCAAAACTCTTGTACTCGGTGTCTAGATGTCGATTTCAACAGCCCCCCAAATGATTCATGGCTCCTATACTCAACCCACAAGCGAAACTGAGAACAATCCCAAATCTGTACCTAGTTTAAACCCTGATGCACCCGCCCTCTTTCGGAAGCACCCCAAGCCATAAGAACTTCAGTAAATGCTACACTGCTGCATTTCTACTGATCACAAAAAGAGAACTTCAGTAACTACTACATTGCTGCGTTTGTACTGACTCTACTGTACACAGAAAGCCGGTTGCCGCCGTGGTACCCGACAAGAAGCATCAAAGGCCCTGGCCAGACCATGACACTACTCACCGTTGGTTAGTAGGGAATGGAGGAATGGGGTACAATTATAACTACTATTACTACCATTCTTCCGTTCCCTACTAACCAACGGTAAGACTAAACAGAACTGGAGGAGGGACAATACTTTTGACCTAATCCCTTCCCCCAATATTAATTACTATAGGGCTTTTAATACTGTAATTAGAACAGGGTTTTGGGGCCTTTTTCCTATACTTATAATAAGGACCCCCCCAAACAATATTGAGCTATCCTCTTACGGGCGACGCTCTCTACGGACATGGGTTCAGTGTGGATGGCACATCTTCGCCCCAAGTATCGAAGAACTGAAGGTGATCCGAGTTCGGGGTATGCCAGCAACTCGCAAAGGGCTTAGGGTTCAAGCTTGACTGCTCCCAAGTCCCGAAAGTCAAGGCGATTGGGTCAATATAGAAGCCCGCATAATCACTAAAAAAAAGTTCCTTAGGGTTCCGTATTGTAGTCCTACTAGTAAAGAGGAGCCCGCAACCCTATTCTCATTATGATAATGCCCCTACAGGGCACTTTTTGTTCAGGGGTTGGGTCTTGGGCATCGGGTCTTCGACCTGCCCATGCCCGAGCCCTTTCCCAAAGCCTCTCTTATGGCAGCGACACTCTAAATCCTAAACCCTAAGCCCTCGACGGCAAGCCTGAAGCGCCCGCCCTCCCGAAACCGTACACCCTATAGGCCCTAAACCCTGTAAGCTAAACCCCTACCCAGCTTCATTCGGGCGCAACGATCACAAACCAGCATGAACGAAGGCGCGGCGTAAGAAAGCAACGGGCCAAAGGCCGAGGGTATTCGATTTGAGACTTACTGTAAGGGCCTTGGTAACTAGAACAGGGTTCCTTTTTTCTTTCAGGGTTACTACAAGGGTTGGGCCTTGACAATTCAAGTGGGGTTTCAGGGTAGGTTATAGTACAATTACCGTAAGGAACCGATACTCAGGGCCGTAAGGTTTTTTGGATTTGTCAAGAATTGAATGGAACCCGCACGTCCTGCTGTAAGGGGTCCTTCCCTTACTCCTACTAAGACCTACAGAAAAGAGCTCAAGCGCTACGCAAACAAGCTAGACGGAATGCAAACCGCTCAACCAGCTGACCCGCACCCAAAACCGCCCACCCCCTGCAACCGATACCCCTAAACTATACGTTTGTATGTATGTATGCAGGTTTAGTAATTATGCACGTATGTATGTATATGTAGGGATGTATGCATGCATGCATGTATACGTATGCGTGTACATAGAAGCATGTATGCAACATTCATATAAACTCCTATGGTTCGCAAACATGAAAAACTAGTAGGCACCCCTTCAAAGCCCTACAAGCGAGAGCCTTGTCGGGACTGAGCCTCTTGCAGTGAGGAGACCATCGTCTCCTCTCCAATCGCTTCGTGCTCGACCGACATTCTTTGGGTGAAGGTCTTTAGGGTTTAGGGCTTCGGCCCGGGTGCAGGTTTTAGGTCTTCGGTCCTTGAAATTGAAGTTCACGGCTTAGGGCCTTCAACTCAAGGGTCGGGTTCAGGGCTCTTGTTCGAAGCTTCGTGGTCCTTCTACGGGCAGAAGTAGGGCCCAGAAACCCCAAAACCCTCAAGCCCTGAACCCTAAAACCCTTTTGTAGATCCCTTTGAGGAATCCTGATAGATCCCTTTAATTAAAGGAACCCTTAAAGAAACCCTGGAACCAGAGATCCGAGAAGCCCTTGACCTTCGGAGTCCTTAGGGCTGATGAGGTCTACTTGGAGGATCAGGGGACTTAGTAAGTGGGGTTCCTTAAAGGGATCTATATATAGGGTTCCTTAAACGGATCTATAGGGCTTAGGGTTCAGGGTCTACTTCGAGGATCATGGGACTTAGTAAGTGGGGTAAGAAGTAGGGCAACTATATAGTTATATCTACTTATTTCCTTACTTAAGGCAGTTACCACCCTACTTACTAAGTGATCCTCCAAGTAGACCCTAAAACTCTGAAGCCTCTAGATCCCTTTAAAGGAGCCCTTGAAGGCACCCTACTAGTAAGTCCCATGATCGTCAAAGTAGCTAGGATACCCAGTAACCTAAGAATGAAGAAGGCCTCTCTTTTTGGTATTGGGTAACTTTATAAGGAACCTAGGACTACAAAAAGGGAATAAGGGTACTACTGGGCATCCTAGGTAGGGTTCAGGGACTCCTAAGCTCGAATCCCCCACTGCAGCTCTCCGACTTCCCCAAACCACCCGGAGGGAGGTCGGTCCGGATCGTCTGCTGTACAAGGCTCCTCTAGGCCTCCCAGGGGGTTTAGAGTTGGATTTAGTTTGGGGTTTAGGGGTTGAGGGGTTTGGGAGCTTCGGGGTTTAGGGTTTCGGGATTAAGGGGTTCCGGGGTTTTAGGGCGTAGGCTTGGTGTAGACAAGCTTCAGCTTTCTTTAGTCAACTTGGAGGGTACGGGGACATAGTAAATAGGTAGTAAGTAGGGTCGTACGTACCCCAAAAGGGTTCTTACTTGGGGGTTATGATACACACAACTCCATAAAATTCAGAAAAAGCATACTGAAAAAGTCACCCGACCCTCCAAGTAGGGTTTAAGTTTAGGGTTCATAGGGTTTTAGAGGTTATTCGGTGTCGCTCCAGTTACTGGATAACCCTGTACGGGAGATGCAGAACAGCAAAGGATCAATGCAGTGCAAAGAACATCAAGTGAAGCTAGCCTGAAACAACTGTCTTAGTGTTCTACTTCGTTTTATGATTGGTTTCGGAGATTTGGTTTTGAGAGTTCGGTGCAGTTTAGCAGGCTTGGGGCGTCAGAGATTCGGGTTGAGGAATTAAACACCTTAAGCTTGTGTCTCAGTCTAATTTCGCCGAGCGAACGCCCATGCTTGAGACTATCGCTCTTGCTTCTGCCGCAGCGACACAAACAATGGAACCATCTCACCTGTCGCAAGCACTGTGCCCAAAACAAAACTTCACTAGGAATCTATGCCTATAACACGCAAAGCCCAAAAACTTTCAACCCGAAGATTGGGCCGCTATTGAAGCCAACTAAAGCCCAGCTACAATAGCTTTTTGAGGGTTCTATCGGCCTATTGTACAAACCTGTAATTACAACCCTTGGCCCAAACCCCTCAAGCCCGAAACCCGAAGCTTAATAAGTGGCCTCAGTAATTCGAACAGGAGTTTGGGGCCCATTATACTATAATTATAATAAGGAAACCGCAAATAGTATAGGCAATTACTAAGGCCCCTACATTAAACCCCTGAGCCCTGAGTTTGGAGTGCAGCCTAGACCGCAGACGCTAGCCGACAGTGCCACGCTGCAGATCGGCTCGTCGTCCGCGATAATAATTTCCTGAGCTTTCTTAGAGGATCATGGAACTTAGTAAGTAGGGTTATAAGTACCTTAATGAGGGTTATAGGTAGATATAACTATAGTTACCTTACTTATAACCCTAGTTACTAACTCCCCTGATCCTCTAAGTTAGGATACTATAGAGCTCAAGGCTGAGCGGAGAGAGTCACTGAACACCTGGAAAGACTGATTGAACCCAAAACACCCTGATTCTCAGACCCTTAAGTTCTAGAGGGGCCGGGGCCCTTCATATTTTCTCCTGAGCTTCCAGCAAGCCGGACTTTTAGTTTAGGTGTTGGGATACGGGACTTCCCGAAGAAGCCACTTACTCTAAAGTACATGTAGAATTGCACATGGTCGTGGTTCGGCTTCACTATAGCCATAAGAATCCGAGATGTCCCTCAAGTTTTGTAGAGTCTGTCTTAAGATGAACTAATTGAAGAGTCCTATAGCCTTAAAAAGTCCCTTAAGCGTCGAACGCCCGCGAGGCACATTGGGAAGCACAGTGCGTTTGGCACCCGGCACAGTCGCCAAAGACAGAATATAGATCCACTTGTACACCACCCGAAACCCTGGACCAGAAATACTAGGTCCGAAGCCCGAAATCGCAAGGCCCAAGCACAAAACCCCAAACCCTAAACCCCCACACCATAACCATAAGGCCCAGGCTGAATGCTCCGGCACCTTCTTGACGCGCCCAACATCCAAACCATACCAGACCCAAAGACCCAAAAGCACAGCCTGAAGAAGCCAGAATATTCGAAGATCCCTACTATAGGGGCCTTAATCATTAGAACAAGGTTTTGGGACCCGATATACTATAATTATAAGAAGGACCTCCCCCCAAAATAGTATAGGCAATTCTTGAGGCCCCTATATTAGACTTTATTCCCCAAGGCCTGAGCCCTAGACCCCGGAACCTCGTCCCAAAAGTCCTCCAACAAAAAGCTCTCAAATCGGAAATCCTCGCAAACTTGCAACAAAAGTGGCGACAGGGCCGTCGCACCTTTGAGGTTTAGGGTTTACAGTAGAAGTCTAAAAGTTGGAAACCCAAGAGCCTCAATCCTCAAGGGTAATGCAATAGGGAATCCAGCACTATTTGGCCTGAATCCGGTTTCCAACTTTATGGGGTTCACTGCATGGGGTTTAGGGTTTAGGGTTGGGACCTTTGACAATCCGAGTGATCGCTTCAAAGAATTGTCTTGTTAGGTAGGGTTTAGGGTGTAGGGTTCGGGTTTTGGGCTGGAGTTCTTACTGTAGCGGTTTCGTACGAAGCTAAGGGTTCGGGTTCCTCTAAGGATGTTTTTAAAGATTCCTATCCCGAATCCTGCCGAAGTCTCGTAGATCCACTTTGGGATCCAGAAAATACAAAGCACCGAAAAAGTCTCCTTTTCTCGTATGGGTTTAGATAAGGCAGATTCCAAGGTTCCCACCTTTTGGATCCGTTACCAGGTGAGGGTTCAAGGGGCGAAAACACCCATTTTGAAGATCGGGCTATACTTTGAGATTATGAATAAAATAGCCCTGACCCTAATCAGCTATACTTACGACTCTATGTACGGTCTGCCCTATAAACCCTAAACCCTAAACCCATTGGTCTCCATGCCCATGATCCTTCAAGCAGGGCTTCCAAGAACGGGTTTACAGGCTTGTGGTCTAGGCCTCTAAAGCGTGGAAGCGCCCAAGCTGAACCCTGAACCCTACAGGGTTTAGGGTTTAGGGTGCAGGGGTTTAGGGTTCCCTAAATAACCTACATAATATTACTGCACGAAGAGGGGCCTCAAGGCGTCTCGGCATTTACAACGCAGGAACTTGACCGAGAAAATCTTGTTTCAGTTTGGTGCTTTGAAAGGATCCTATCGAGCAACGCGTGCATGCCACCCAAGCTTCTTGAAGGAGCCGCCTTCCGCTTGTGAATGGCATCCATGATTTTCTGGTCGGCAGCTTTTCGCACATCAGTCTGTGCTATCTAAGCCAATCTGCCGCGACGTGAGACCTTCGTGAGCGTCTATCTGGAACTATTAGTGCGGCTTGAGCTGAACCGGCACTGTGTCACACTGGTGTTCCAAGGTTTCTGAAGCTTGCACTTCGGAGAATGCTTGTCTCCCTTCGCGCAGCCTGGGCACGCAGAACTGCACTCTGTGAACAGGTAGCACTTCTCGCAGCTGTCGCCTTAATCGCATAAAAAGGGCGCCAACCATGCCACCTTTTGCTTTCGGATGGACTCTTCAGGGGGAGGGCTGGGTTCACGTACCATGACTACAGCTAAACCCTACCTAGACCCAACACGTTCGGGATGAAGGTAAACCCGAAAGGATGGTATCCTCGGCGGGCCAGGATCATGGCGCCTGATGGGACAACTTGGCATTCCGACGTGATCCATAGCACGTTGTGTGTGTGTGTGTGCATAAGTTATGTAGACTCTTCAGACCTAATCCCCCTCCCTTAATAAGGACTGTGCTGGGATCACTATTATATTACCAGTCTGCCCTCCTGCCAAATCAACCACATCACAGACTCATGAGGTTAACCTTGAAGGAGGTGCCAAGGGCCCGACATTCCGTACAAGTCCCCAGACCAAACGAGGAGCACAACCCCTAAACCCTAAACCACAAACCGTGGGCATGATCACGGCACCAAAAACCCGATAGAGCATGAAAGAACTCATGAGGATGAACCGCGTTGTTATCCAACCCTAATGTAAGAACCTGATTAAGAAACCTTGGGCCTTTCTTACTATTTCGGGTTTCTATGCCGAGGGTTTCTTAATCAGGTTCCTACATTAAACCCTTAAACCCGAAAGCCTGAATATCCCTAAACCTCCAAGCTCTAAACATCAAAACTCATAAACCCTGCAAGCCTAAAGCCTCAAAGCTAAACCCCGAGGCTCCAGCGCGCTGCTGGGCCCAATTCCTCAGCTGGCGGTCGCTTTGACTCCCCTTACCGCTTTACTCAGGGCTTCATTGTCATTAGATCACTTGAAGGCGTCCAGAAGGGATACCACAAGCGCTGCTATGACGGTTTGATATAAGGGTTTAGGTTTGTAGGGTTTAAGGCTCAGGGTTTAGTTTGGGTTTGTAAGCGTGTACCCTAAAACCCTAATTAGATCCGTTAGGGCGAGGTTCAGAGCTCTCTTGGACTTACGGGTGCTATCTTTAGGCTTTGGGGCGTTGCAGGGTTTCATGAAGGTCAGAGGGTTCAGGGGTTTAGGAATAGAACCACGCACACGCGTACATCTTGCCGGCCAGGAATCAGGTTTGCTGGTATTTGGTTTAGGGTTTAGGGTTTAGAAGGGGCTTGGGGTTTTTAGAGGTTTAGGGTAGATTTGTGGCTCCACCCGAAAGACAGCCGTAGACCACGGTCCCTTTGAGATGCGCAAGCCTAAAGGCTCTTTGCGGCACTTATGGGGTACCCAGAGAGCCCAATACTCCTCAATTAAGGCATATACCTTCAAGCACAATATTAAGCCCCCTATCCTGTAATTTAAGGTGTATATATACCCCTTAGTTAAGGACTTTCCCTAAATCATGATGTTAAGCCCCCTATAATTTCAGGTATATTCCTTAATTAAGGGGTATTGGGATCCTATAAATAATATTATAGGGGCCTTCATGATCAGAATCGGGGTTCCTTTAAGGGTTCCTGTTAAAGGGTCTATAGGGATTAGTATAAGGGTTACTATAAGCATATAATGTAGGGGCCGTAATAATTAGATAATTACTATAGGGTTTCAAAGGCCCATGATACTATAATGACATAACAATGAACCCCCCCCAAACAAAAAAATATAGGTAATTATTAAGGCCCCTGCATTAAACTTCTGCACACCCTTTTCAGGCTCCCGCTTAGAACTCTACAGAGGCCTCCCCTGAAAGATGATCCTAAGCCCTTTTCACTTCGTGGTCGCTCGAAGCCATGTTCCTTGTGAGTACCCTACTGAATGTAGCAGTGAGAAACCTTGCAGTTCCAATAATCTCACGATTCCACGTTGTGCACGGGGTTGAGCGGTCCGAGGTTCCCTAAACCCCTCAAACCTGAACAGAGTTTGAGTAGCATTTAAGGCTAAGCGCTAATGGGTTGAAGGTGCGCTTTCGACTGTAAATCCTGTTAATAGCATCTTAAGTGCCACATTTCTTCCGGGGAGAGGTCTATTCTGCCAAAAAGTTTGGAACTTCGTACTTCCCAGAGCCTCCAAAACCCCTTAATTAAGGAATATACCTTAAATTATAATAGGATCCCTTATATGACTTAAGGTATATTCCCTAATGGAACCCCTAAACCCTAAACCCTATAGATCCCTTAAAGGAACCCTAGGTATATTCCCTAATTCAGGGGTTCTTCTTGTCAGCGTCTCTTCCGGCTTCGGGTCTTTTTTGAAGAGCCCCGCGCAGTGATCAGCGCGAACTATCCTAGGATACCCAGTAACCTAGGAATAAAAAGAGTACTAGGGTTCCTTTAAAGGGGTCCTTTAAAAAGGGTACTGTAAGGGATCTCTAAGGGTACCATGATATACTAGGATACCCAGTAACCTAAGAATAAAAAGGCCTCTCTTTTTGGTATTGGGTAACTTTATAAGGAACCTAGGACTACAAAAAGGGAATGAGGGTACTACTGGGAATCCTAGACTACTACTCTTACATACTCAGGGTTAAGGGGCTTGGGGTTCAGGGTTTAGGGGTTTAGGGTTTAGGGCTTCAGGAGTTTGGGGGTGCATTTAGGGGTTTAGCAACTCAGAGATCAAACAACACCGTCCGAGATATGCCCTGGTCTGGTAGCTTGGATCAGAAATGACCCCCGACAATGAGAAAATGGCTTTTGTGGTATACAATAGTCTAATTGTAAAAAAGAGAGCCCGGGACGGACGATGATCAGTTTCCTGTAGTATCTGCTCAGAACTTTCTGGGCTAAAGCCTCAAACCTCTTCCTCCCTGTTGTTGCCCAGGCACCGAAATATGCCTGCGCACGGCCGATTGCAATCACATCACAGTCGAAGGTTGAAAAGATCCGACGGTTTAGGGTTCTGTTTTCGGGGGTGTAGGGTTTAGGGCTTGGGGTTGGGTCATGGGGTTTTAGTGTCTAGGTTCTGGAGTGGGGGAGCTTTTTCTTCGGTTTTTAGTTTGAGCTAGGATTTAGGGTTTCGGGTTTATACCCGAAGGCTCCATGTACCCATACAGTAAATACTTAGGCCTTAAAGTACCCACATAGGGACCCCTTTAAGGCCTAAGTACCTACTATATGGGTACATGGAGTCTTAGGGATAGAGGTTGAGCTCTTGGGGTTGCAGGGTGACGCCCCGCCAGTCGAATCGCGAAGCTCTAAACTCTGAAGCCCAAGAGACTGCAAACATCGCAAGCCCCAAACCCTCTATACTTTGCGCTGTCCTGTTTTTGCGGCCTATAGGGTTTGAAACTCTGAAGCCCGAAACAGCAGATACTTTGGGTTGTACCATTCTTGCATCGTCTCTTGAGATGATATTCTCAACCAAAGTGCTGATTAGGACTTAGGGGGCGGGTTTGCCGAGGCTTCACTGTCTTGCTAAGCACAACTTCGGATACCGGCCCATACGACTCCTGCTTCAAGTTCAAAGTGCTCAATATGGACGCTTTGATGGGGGGAGGAATAATTTGCTCCAGCGAAATTCTCATGGAAGTCCTCTTCCCTCTTCCCTAAACCCCAAATCCTATGCACGACATTTTGCAAATCCCAAACTCCTAAATGTTGAAACTTTGACGTCAGACTTTCATGGCGGAGGTCTATGTCGGGGTTTCCGAAAATTGGGGGGGGGTACCTTATTTTGGGGTCCTTATAATAAGGATCCTACTATTTAGGGTACGATATAAGGGTCCCCTATTTTCGGAAACTCTCATGTCGAAGATCAGACCATGTCTAGCATCCAAAAACTCCTATCATGTTCAACCTACCACTCATGTACCTTGTTATTACTTCTGTCCTTCGCCCAGGGTTCGGGGTTTAGGCTGCAGAGTTCTAATGTTTAGGGGGTTTGGCGCCTGGGGTAGGGGTTGCGATGGCTATGGTCCAGGGTCAGTCTTCAGCAATTCGGCCGTCAAGCCGTGCTTGCTCGGCACACATTAACTGCTCTTTCAAAACACTGAAGTAGCCAAAGCAGACACCTTTGTTGTCTAATGTTTTTTTAAGGAACAGGTCCTCGAAAAATGCATTCACGTAATTATGGTACTGCAGAACCGAGTTAAGTACCAACGCGCAAGGCACCCTCCCTTTGTGCATGCGCCTCTGCTTCCTGGAAGCAGGCAAGTACCGCTCCCGCGTCGGTGAAGTTTTTCCTGGGGCTAAGGCTGAGGGGATTACGGGCCACTAGATCTCGAGGCTTCCGATCTTCTAACGGATTGGGAAGTTTAGTAGGTCGGCTCTATGTACAATTATCAGTGCCGAAGTTTTGGCTAACACTGAGGGTCTGCCACGGCGGATACAAAGCCCGAGGTAGCAACTGAAGTAAAGTTTTGGGCACTGTTGATGTGAAGCCTATGCCACATTTTGCAAGATGTGGCTTGATCGATTTTTGAAGCCCCAAGCAACGACGGAAGACATGCACCCAAGCCCAAGCCCAAAGTAGACACTCGGCTTTCTTCCTAACTGAAAGAAGGCCTGGAGGCTTGGTGTATGGGGCTCTGCTTAAAGCTTTGGTGTTACGGATTTCGTGTCCTGGGCTTGTCTTAAAACCGGAATGCATCCAAGCTTCGGCATTGTCATGTTGAACAAGTCTGCCTCTTGTCGGGAGTCTTGCAGATTGCGAGAACCTACCAGCCTCGTGCCTGACCCCTTCGCCTGAACTTCAACGGGGTTCTTGTTGAGTAAGTTAGCTTAGTCTAAGCTGCCAGCGAACCCCGGGAATAGGAAAAAAGGGCTTGGGGTTACTATGGGTTTACTAGAGAGCTGTAGGTACGACAAGTCCCGGCAGGAGTTATACTTTTTCGATCCAGGTTCGCTGATGAGCTTTGCAGCAGGTGCTTCGTTAGGGCTTGTCTTTGAGGTATCCAGGCATTGGGATCTAAGGCTTTCGGCACGGCCCGAAACTTGGTGGTTGTATAGGTTTCAATAAATAAACCAACTGAGCTTTTGCCGTCTCGAAACCCTTCGTTTGGCGCCTGGGCGGCTTGCTTGCTAAGCGTTTCCTTGAATCGAGATTCGGATTCTAGCGGTAGGGTTCGGCTTCATGCAGCACTACTAGACAATCTCGCAGCACAGTATCGTGATCACAGTTCTCGCACGGATCGCGGCATTGCTTGTGGTAGCTACATGCCAAACATTGGGTTACACTTCGTAGGTGTTTCACTTCGGTTGCCCTTCCCAGGTTTCCGCACCAGGAGTATATATGCACGCATGGTGACGTCACGTACTAGAGCATGGCAACTACATCATAATTACTGCAGTCTATGTAGCTCGGAGCTTGCGAAAATCATATAGTGGGTAGGCGCATAGAGCGATACAATAGGCAAGCGAGGCGCAGAAAAGACAGGGCCCGACTAGAGCAATAGGATCCTCACCTTCCTATAAAACCCTGCAAAGGAATTCTTCTTTGCTGAAACCTCGCTGAAGAAAAACTGAAGCCCACATAGGGCTTCATGTTTTGGTGTAGAGCAGCTACTGAACAACCCGGAACCTAAGCCGAATCTCTGCTAGCTGCAGTTAGTTTCGAAACATGAGAGTTTCCGAAAATAGGGGACCCTAATATAATACCTTAACTAAATAGTAGGATCCTTACTATAAGGACCCAAATCAGGTACCCCTACTTTTCGGAGACTCCCATGAAGTTCATGCGAAGGCGCAGGCCAGGCTTCCCCTCCATTTAGACACAGACATTAATACAGATACAGATGCAGACATAGACCGGCATACTGGTGGCACTGCTTCATAACTCTGAGCTAGCGAATATGGGGCTCTCTGGGCAAAGCCCCCCTAAACCCTAAACCCTAAAACCCTAAACCAAGCACTGCGAGCTACGGCCTCTGTGTTCCTCGTCAGCTTCGCGACATTCGCCGAGCAGCAAACAAGGAAGGGCGTCCGACAACCGACCTCGACAGACCCGAAACTCTAACAATCAGAATACAGGCCTGAATTTTTGAAGTTTTACAGAGTAGAAAGTTATGTGGGGACTTTAAGGGGATGGTTTTTACTAGTATTCGGGGCACTTCAGAGTAAAGGTATGTAGGGACTTTAAGGGGATGGTTTTACTGGTATTCGGGGGCACCTTGTACCAAACCTACTTTCCGACCCCCCTCAGAGCATCATCCACTGGTGCGTTCAGGCTGCTTACCGAGGGTACTCTCCACTTACTACACCCTTATTAGGGTTCCATCAGGGTTACTTTAAAGTGTACTATAAGGGTAGTTGCTATAAGCAAAACCTCCAGGACCTTTCACAATGAATTCAGAAACCTTTGATGCTTGGCCCTCGTCCTCCAAATTTTCTGCATGCAGACTGTTCGAAACGGGTCGCTATTCGCACCAAAGACTGCTTTGCGTCAGTAGCGGCAGCAACCAAAACAGACACTCGAAAACAGCAATGCTACAAGTGTTCATGCGCAAAAGAACAGGACACGAATGGACATAGACAACTTTGGCGACTCCCACAATCACAGTCGCACCAACAACACAATGAAACACCACCAAGAAGTCGCACCTCGAGACCGACAACGACGACGACACCGTACTCGCGGTGCGAACATGCTAACGTGTTTCAAGTCAGAACCAGGATAACACCTCGACGGTAGCGGGTGATGCTGGTGCTGATTGGAACCCACTCTGCGGCAGTGCCGGTCATCAGAAACAGAAACACGTGATCTTCTTCACCAACATTACTTGCATCATCACGGTGAGTATCGTTATTCGTGTCGCCATCGTCGTCGTCATCTTCTCCTCACCGCACCACCATCACAGCCTTCATAATACATAATCCTACAGATCTTCATAGGAGTATTGCTGCGGTCGTCACAAATGTCTGGATGCTACTAATGCTGCTACCATTGGGACGATGAAACTCTCGCGGTGCCTCGAGGGCGGGGGTTTCGGTTCCAAACTCATGCCTTTGCGTAATATAGGGGCTGCAGTATTGAACTTGTATAGAATAGGGCTTTAGGCCATATGATACTGCAGTTGTTGCAAGGAGCACGCAAAAGAGTGGCTGTAATCATTTAGGCCCCTACATTAGGTGGGTTTAGGGGTTTATGGTGGGCGGATCAGAATCTAGGCGTTTTGGGACCTTGGTTGGGCCTTTTCCTAGCCCTACTTGTCGGGTATCATGGGGAACTAAAGGTTAACCTTTTTGGCTATATAGGGGTTATATAGGGGCTATACTACCCAAAAAAGGTTAAAGGTTACCTACTCGACCACTAGGTAGCGTCTGCTGGGCTTGAGGCTTCTCTGCCATCTTGGATCCAGCAGTTTCAGCGGTTTGGGGGTGATAATAAGCTTGCAGTGTCGCAGGCCTGTTGGGTCAAGCCAAGCAGCCTATAATGCAACCTCCAACTTCTCACGGATGAGGCTCTTCTTGGAGCATACTGCTCTTATGACTAGTGACATAGGGAATCCTAATTCAAAACCTCCCCACTCGCCCCCAAGTCACTGCATCTTCTGGCCCGCCTTCGGCTCCTCTCGTATTCTCTGAGCCTTATGCCAGTTCCAACAGATAGCAGGGTTTCCGAGTTGAGGTTTAGGACACCCGGGCTTGCTTGGGCCTCGGGGTAAGTTTTACGGTTTTGCGTTTTTGGGTGCCTCTACTTACCCTATAGGAGGAAGGTTCAGGATCTAGCTTGGTGACAGCCAACACCTGGAAGCCGGTAGGCGTATTTTTTATCAGAAGTATGAAGCTTCTGTCTACATGAGATGGCATCGGCGTACGTATCCACCTATCGATCCATCTGTCTAAAAGTCTATCTATATATATATATATATATCTATCTCTCCATCCATCTGTCTCTCTATCCAGCTTTCGATCTATCCATCTGTGTGTCTTTACATATATATACACATATGTATGTAGTATGTGTATATGTATACATACACATACGCACACATATGAGCACTCGTACCCAAACTCGACGGCAATGTACGCTGAACAGGTGCACAGGTGCAAACAGTACACACAATATGCTGCCACAACGACAAAAACTATGCATTATGTCAGTCAGGCAGGCAGTCTGTCTGTCCGCCTGCCTGCTGGTCTAGCAGCATGGACGTGTATGTTGTGTAATATACACATGCATGTTGGATCTGTCTTTGAAGTCACGTTTACACATGCCAAAATTGAGGAGGCGCGTCGACTCAGAATCCTGCAGAGCGGCAATGGTGAAGCTGGCGAAGATAGTTAAGACCCTTTTTCCATCTTTTCCTCTCCTATACCCTCTTTGTCCCTATACTGAGCCAATTGCCCAATGGCGGGAAAGGCCGGTCATCAAATGGAAGGCGCGTTCAAACTTCGCCACCCGCATCTTGATGGGAGGCCAAAAGGGGGGTTCAAGATTCTTGGGGTAGGGATTCCTGAATACGAGCCCTATTATGGGAACCCTAATCCCTACTAAACCCCCAGAGGCTAAACCCCCTTTTGGCCTCCTATGAACTCTCACATTTTCAAAACTGGAGAGAGGCACTTGTGGCGACTTGAGCTCCTGTGCACGGTATATGCCTTGAAACCGAAACTCCAAAACTACCTCCAACCCACAAGACGCAGTACGTAATATAGGGGCCTTGATGATTAGAATAGGGTTTTGGGGCCGTGTATGCTACACATATAACAAAGGAAGACCCCCAAAACAGTATAGGTAGTTATTTAGGCCCCTATAGTATCCTCTGCTACCGGGCCTTAAAGCCTTGCCCGACGGGGCAACTTCACTCCATCCTGGATGCCTTGCATGGTAACTCCCACGAAGTCGAAGTTATGCAGGTAACTCACCTGCGGCATGATGGCGGCGGCTTGCGAGTTTAGCTTGTCATTCTCAATCAAAGCGACGTACGCATCCGCCACCTCTTCGGGCAGCAGCTGGTCCTTCAAGAGAGGGTGGTTGGCATCTTGCTCCTTGAACTTTTGAGCAAAGAAAGTGCCGACCGCTGGGGTCTGTGTCATGGCGGGACACACGCAGTTCACCCGCACACCGTGCGACTTCTTCAGCGGACGGCATGAGATCGAAAAGCCCACCACGGCCCACTTGGAAGCTGCATAGGCTTGCCTAGGCTCGATACTGTCCAAGATAACGTCATCCCAAGAGGCGTCTAAGTGGATGTTGCAGGGTTATCGTGAGGGTTTCTATAAGGGTTGCGCTAAGGCTTAGCACAAAGGGTTTAGGGCCGTTTAGGGTTTAGGGGTTTAGGATCGTTTAGGGTTTGAAGGATTTTAGGGTAAACCGCAACACCCAGAAACCCCAAGCGAAGTTGCGTCTCCGGAAGCGGCAGAAGTCCCCCCATGCTAGCAGTATTGATGACGACGCCTTTCTTGCCCGCTGCGCGAATCGCTTCCGCAGCCATCTGGGTCCCCTTCATGACGGCCATCATGTTCCTCGCTGTGAATGGGCCGCTTGTAGTAATTACAGAACCTCCTATTGAACCCATAGTCGAAATATTAGATTGACGACAGAAAACATTGCAATCTCATGTTATAAGTAGAGCCGTTATCCTTGGACTAAACACATCAACTTCTTTCAGACTTCGGAAGCATCTTTCATCTGTCCCTCCAGATGTACACAAAGCTTACCGGTCTGCAGTGCTGAACCTCCCAAACCTTCCCGTTAATCTGCCCAAGCGCCAAGCATACTGTAATTTAAGTACAAGTTTAGACTCCACAGTAAGTACTTAGGTACTGTTTGTATACTCGCAGTCTTAGGGAAAGATGTTGAAGCAGGGCTCACGTCCATCATGGACTTGATCTTGGCGTCCCCAGCATCATCGTTGACCACAATTCCTCATGCCCAAAGGCCCAGACATCCTAAAACTTTGGGATCCTAAGGAATCCTTTATAATAAGCTACTGAAAGCCCTGTAAGCCATGTATAACCAACCCTTTATGCATCGAAACCGCATAAGCCCTGTAAGCAAAGAACCCTGGAATGCCTGCGTTGTTGACCACGATGGTTGCACAGGACCCAAAAGCCTCCTCCGCGGTTTTGGTGAAGGGAGACGGCAGTTAATTGTTTTGGGCAGGGTTCCTTTAAGGTTTCAAGGTTTAGGGCTTAAGATGCGAAAGTAAGCGTGGCTTTAGTAAGTAAGGAGGCCCATTGTTTGAGGCTTTTGGTTTCGCAGCGCATGGCATTCGGAGAGTCTTCAACAAGACCACTGCGAGAGATTCCGTAACTCCTCACTTCAAGGGCTATACCCTGAAGCCTAAGATCTACAAGTCACGATTGCTTCCGAAACACAGGACCCGGTAAACTAAGGGTACTATAGCCTGCCTCATTTTCCGAACACCTCACCAAACTTGAAACCGGTGCAAGTCCTTTGCCGGCCTGCATCCGGTTAAGAAACAGTATAAGCCCCATCGAAGCTGCAACTATTTCGGCCCCTATACTATGCCATGTTGGAATGCTAAACCCTCCATGTGTCCTGCGGCTTCCCGACTAGACTGCGATGCAGGCCGGCCGTGTCTGTCACGTCCACCCGGTCATACCTGAGGTCGACACAACCCTGAACAAAGCACAAGCAAACCCGTAGCCACTCGTCAAATACTTATAGTGAGGGTTCTAGTTATACTTATAGTGACAAACAGTGAAGGTTAGAGCTCATCATTTCTACCTATACTTTAGTCATATTTGAAGGTAAAGGCACAGTTGATCCCAGAAGCTTGGGTCCAAACCCGCCCCCTGGAACTGGAACCACAGTCCCTCGAAGGCAAGGCGAAAAGCCCCAAGTCCCGAAACCAACTTCGGCTTCAGGATTTCGGGTCGCCGGGCTTTAAAGACAAATAAAAGTCCCCAGGCCCCGTTCGTAATTCGGGAGGTAGGGCTTACGGTGAACCCAGAGAGCCAAATACCCCATAATTAAGGAATACAGCAGAAATCACAATATGAAGCCCTATATATTTTGAGCCATATTCCTTAATTAAGGGGTAGTGGGCTCTCTGGGAAGGGCCTCGAAGATCTAATCAAAGTCCCGGCACACTGCCCTGCCAGCTCCCAATTGGCAAAGGTCTGCGGCCAAGGATTGTCCTTTGGTCCTTAGCTTCCCTGGACTTTTAAGCAACCAGAGAGAAACAAATCAAAAACTTCATGTCATAATAGTTTTTTTGTTGGAGCCAACATAAGCAAGGACGGTGCTCCAAACCCAGGTTCCGCGTTTCTAGGCCCAAGAAAGCTTAAACTTTTCAGCTTTGCAGTGTGAATTACTGTGCCAAAATCATGAAAGTTTGCCGATTCGGCTACAAAGGGTCGCATCCACAAGATCTGCCATCACCTCGGCTTTCCAAAGGTTTAGGGTGTTGGAGTTTGAGGGTTGAGGTTGCTGGCTTTCGACAGTCAGGGGTGTAGGGCTTAGGTGCTCCAAGTCTACCATCGCCAGCTCTGGGCTGTTTGCGCCCTGAATGTATGTCTTTGGGTTTAGGATGGTTTGGGTCCTTAGGGTTTAGTTACAGTTCGGCTTGAAAGTGCGGTTTAGGGCTTAAAGGCGTAGTGGGGTTTAGGTTTCTCATGTTACCCCACAGCCGAAACCTTGAAACACTTGATGCTGCCAACCTAAGTACCAGGTTATAAGCCCGATTGGCGCTAACCGCTAACCCCGACACTAGACCCCAGACCCAACCCAAGGCATATAGCCTAAACCCCAAACCTACAAGCTCTAAAACTCTAAATGCTTAAACCCTCAACCCCTAAATCCTACTCGGAAGCCCAAACCCCAAACTCCTAAGATCAAGTCGGCCCCGTCGCGACATTGGCGCCTTTCACAACCAACTCACGGGCGACAGCCAGACCGATACCCTGTTCGAGTTCAGAGTCAGGGGTTTGGGGCTGTGGGTTTGGAGGTTTAGGGTTTATGGTTTGGGACTTTGGGTTTCGGATTTAGGTGTTCATTTGAGCGCTCTGTTTGGGGCTTGGGGGGTTTTGTGTTGAGGGCTTAGAGGCTGGAGCTTAGGGCCAATAGTGTATGGCGGGAGAAAGACACGGTTTAGGGTTTAGGGTTTCACCCTAAACCCTAAAACCCTAAACCCTAACCCCTAAACCCTGAACAGCTGACAAAAATCGACACAGGCTTTGCATCCAAACCCTTACGCCCGGACTGGAAGCCAAACTCGCTTTCATTCACGGCTCCCCAGTATACCGTCAGGAACTTTCCCATGGGCCCATGGTAGTTCCTTTCTGGGGTTCATATTTAGAATTCTATAAGGTAGTCTCAAAAAGGAACTACTGCGGGGCCTATATATGGGCTAGAACAAAAAAGGGCAAGCTCTTCATTGACTCAGCTTTGAGAAAGGGGAAACCAACATCAAAAGGGGCACCGGGTCAAGTTGAGCCCCGACACCTACTCCTGGTTCATGACTAGCCCCATCATAATAAGGGTAGCCCTTTTCCGGCCTTTTCCTTATTACTGGGTTTCAAGAGGGGGATCCTTATATAAGGGTTCTACCCAGAGATCCCAATACGCGTTAATTAAGGAACTACTTCGAGGATCATGGGACTTAGTAAGCAGGGTTACAAGTACCTTTATGAAGGCTATAAGTAGATATAACGATAGTCACCTTACCCTTAACCCTACTTACTAAGTCCCCTGATCCTCTAAGTAGAGGACCCAAAACAAAACCGCAGGGCTTCAACACAGTTTAGGGGTCAGGGTTTAGGGCTTTAAATGGGTTTAAGGGTTAGGGTTTGGGGTTTAGGGGTTGAGGTTTGAGGTTTGCGAGTTGGGGTAAGGATTTCACTTACCCAAATTACCCCCACTCAAACGGCCGGCAGCCTGCGCCGCACCGGAGATCCATGCAGTGCTGCCCTGAATGGCCGGCATCTCTTTAAAACCTGGCTGCAACCCCTAAACCCTAAATCCCACCAAACCCCGAAGCCGGAATGCTCGGCACAATTTCGGCGAACTCGCAATGAAGATATTCCACACCTCAATCACGAGCCTGTGGCCTGCGCCCGGAACCCAAATCTAAGCCCTGTTCTTGCAAGGTTTGCCTCATGAGCCACGCAGCAGTGGTCCGGCCGAGCTCGTTCGGGTTTGGAGCCAGGGATGACCGGGGGAATGCTATATTGAGACATCACGGATCAGGAAAGTGCAACCCAAGATCAAAATCCAATCTTAGCCAAAAGATCTGGGTTTAGGGAATAGAGTTTTAGGGTCTAGGGGTTTAGCGTTTCTGACCCTCTTCTCTCCCAAACTGATTTCGGGGATGAGGGCTTTGATGGTTTGTCTTGTGCAGGCAAAGGCTTGTGGTTTTCTTGCAACCGCTATATGGGAGTTTCCGAAAATAGGGGACCCTAATATAGTACCCTAAATAGAGGGATCCTTATTATAAGGACCCGCAAATAAGGTACCCCTATTTTCGGAAACTCCCATATAAGTAAAGCAGCCTATGCTATCTGACCCCACGCAGCCAGGGATCCTTCCCTGTGAGGCGGGCGTCCTCACAGCTCGACCCTAAACCCACAAAACCTTACTACCGCAAGCCACAAAAAATGTAAGGTTAACCTTTCCGATTCCTACTAAACTATAGGAGCCCAAAAAGTTCCAAGGTTAGGCATTGGTGATCTAAGACACTGAAGATACACAATTGCTAAAATCTAGTTTTTTTGTTGGGGGGGGGGGGGGGGGGTTATCTCATGGTTTAGGTCTACGGGCATAAGGCGATACCGTTCCGATTCCTTCCGACAACCTTAAACCCAAAGCCCTCCTTTATTAAACCCAAAACCCTCGACCCTCCACTGATCCTGAGAGGCCCCGCAGCGGATTCTCCGTCCAGATTGGGCATCCGAACCTGCAAGGCTTAGGGATTAGGGATGAGGGTTCATTTTCGTAAAGGATGAGGGTTTACAGGGATTATAGGGTTTAGGGAATGGGGATGAACAATTTTCTTCCGAGGGATCAGGGTTTAGGGAGTGGGGCTTTAGGGGTTAGGGATGAGGGTTTGGGGATTTGGGTTTAGAGTGTAAAATTATGGTTCTTCCAAGGATGGTTCAGTTCAGGGCTTCTGATTACATGAGTGGTTGAGGGTTTAAGAATTTGGGTTTAGGGGTAAGGTTTGTAGGGCATTGGGTTTTTGTTAGATGAGGGCATATGCTGGGGAGGTTTGGGGAGATGCGCATTGCAATAGAGGAAGCTCAGACAGACCCCAAACTGCGAACCCTTGGACACGGAAGTCCCCACCTCTTGTCGGGGTCTTTCTCTATGCTTCACCCATAACACAGGAAACCTGAAACCCAAACCCGAAACCTTTAGGGGTTTTAGGGTTCAGGGTCTAGGGTTTAATGTTTAGGGTATAACATGAAGATGAGACCAGTAGAGGGTTTCAGAGTACAGGGACGATTGAGCCGTAATCCAGACGGTCCATACTTGATATACAACCATCATGGAATGAAGTCCCGAAAGACCATCCTTATTATGACTCCGTATTCAGAGTATCATCAGCCACAATAATATCTCCGTAGGCTCTGTGTTTTCTCGAAAACCCTTACCCCAAAACCCCTCAACCGCAGAAACCATCACAATACTTTTCCGGAGATCCCCAATACCTCTTCATTACGGAATATATGCTAAATTATAGGGCGCTTCATACCCTGATTAAGTCCTATTCCTTAGTTCAGGGGTCTTGGGCTCCTTGGTACACTTTTACGATTCCTTAGTTCAGGGTCTTGGGCTCTCTGAACCCTAAACCCCAAAACCTGCATGCTAAAACCCTAAACCCATCCCACACGTTTCGCCTTGGATTTAGCGGAGCTGAGATCCAGGCGTCGAGGAAGGCCAGAATCGGAACAGTTGGATCCTTGACGGTTGAGGGTTGGGGCACTCGAGTTTACGGATTTGCAGTATTGGGGGTGTAGGGCGTGGGGTTTTGGATTTTGCAGTTTGGGGTGTTGGGATTAGGGTCGAGCTAACGAAGCAATGGTGCGCTGGTGTACGAGGCATTGAAATTTAAGGCCTTTCTTTTCTCCAAACCAGGCTTCGAACAAGCCCCCTAAACCCTATTGACCTCTAGCCCTAATCCCCCCTAATGCCTAGAAACAGATGTATATATGTAGAAGATAGATGGCTACATAGATAGATAGGTAGATACTATAGACAGATATATAGGATAGGATATAGGATAGATAGACAAACAGATAGAGTGAGGTGTGACAGCGTTTTGTGGTCTCCAACCTGCCGCTAACCTTCAAACAGCAATCCGCAGCTGCCCTAACTATACAACCCCCTGCTGGAATCCTGAAACCCTCTAGACCATTTTCAATCCCGGAACAAAAGAGCCTGAACCCTAAACCCCAACCAAGCAAACGGATTAAACACACTGCTCATACTCAGGAACCCTGCGGAATTCGGATTATCAGTCGTATCACTTATCTAATTGCTTAGGCCCCATAAAACAGACCTTAAGCCCTGAACTTTAAGCCTTAAACCCCTAAACCCGGCACTTAACCCCAAAACTCTAAACCTGAACCTTAACCCCCCCCCCCCCCGACCCTTGCACCCTGAAACCTAAACTGTCCTCCGCCTGGCTGAACCTTAAGCCTTAAACCCTACGCCCCTAATCCTTGAACACCAAATGCCCAAAGGCTTACGTAACTAGGATGCCCAGTAACCTAGGAATAAAAAGGGCTCCACACGTCTCAAAGAGCGGTCATGTCACAGAGGGGAGCCGGACTAGCTCAACTTAAGAAGAAGGTTCTGGATTTCCAGAATGATAGACCTGGCATCGTTGGCCTCAGTATTCAAAGCACGAGACGTACAAGGCCGCCCACAAAAAGACTTGAGCCTTTTGGCGAAGTTAGGGCACCTAGTGAAACAGGAAACGCAGAAACCATCTCTGCACGTGGAATAAAAAGGGCTCCCTTTTTGGTATTGGGTAACTCTATGAGGAACCTAGGACTACTAAAAGGGAATCAGGGTACCACTGGGCATCCTACTTAAAGGATCAGGCGACGTAGTATGTCGGGTTATAAGGAAGGCAACTATAGTTATATCTACTTATAACCTTAATTAAGGTGCTTATAACCCTACTTACCAAGTCCCATGATCCTGTAAGTAGACCCTAAACCCTAAACCCTATAGATCCCCCTAACGCGCCCAAAAAATAGACCCCTTTAAGGAGCCCTACTTACTAAGTCCCATGATCCTTCAAGTAGTTCAGCCCGTAAAACCTAAACGGTCGCCGTCCTCCGCCTGGAGTCGGTCCTCGGCGACGGGGGGATTTCGCAGATCTTCTATTCATTAACGATCGGATTAGGGTTTAGGAAGTTTAGGAAGTTTAGGGTTTTCTGGTTTAGGGATTTAGGGTTTAGGGGGTTTCGGAAGTGCAGGGTTTAGGGTTTTATGGTTCAGGGGTTTAGGGTTTAAGAAGTTAAGGGTTTTGGAAGTTTACGGTTCAGAGTTTTGTCGGGATTTCAAGGCCTTGTTGAATTGGTTGGTGCAGGGGTTCTCCGTGATCTACAAGGTGCTTCTGGGTTTCTGGGTTCTACCATGTCTTCAAAGGGTTTCACATCCCTTCATGAAAAGGTTTCCTGTTTTATGGTCTCAAAGGCCTTGAATGATAAGTAGGGCCGTAGGGTTCTTATGGGTTCGAGACCGGTTCGCTACAGGAGTTAATATGTGCTTATGATGTAAAGGCTAAAGGAATTATATTAATTTCGCACAAGAGGCTTGCGTCATGAAGAAACAGTACCGTGCTGAATCTCCGACTGCTGTAGGCTATGGGGATGGGGGATACCGCAGTGAACCCCAGAAAGTTAGGACATGGGTTAGAAGGATTGGTGCTAGGATCCCCTATTTACCTTAAGGGAATGGGGATAATGATGTTCCAACTTTCTGGCTTCTACTGTAGTGCTCCACCTTGTTAGCTTCTACTTTCAAGGTTTTCGGTTCACGGTGTAGAGTTAAGGGAGTTCTCCCATACACAGAGCCCCAAATCCCGCAACTAAGAAGAGCAAATCATATGTCATGCTAGTTGGTTTATGGGGCCTGTTATGTTACAACATGTCGTCCGGCTTCCGGGATTAAAGCCCTGCTCCAAAAGTACAGGCTTTACTCCGTTAACTCAGGGACTACAAGGTGCCAGGATTGCTAAGCCCCCCCTCCCCGAAAAGTTCGTATGTACATATGTATACATGCATATATCTGTACACACGTGCATACATACTATCACCAGGGCCTTTACAGAGTGACCTGCCCGCCCCAAAGTGTGAGAACGGGAGATGTTGATGCGCTGACCCAGTGAGGGATCCCTTGCCATGACGAGCCTGTGCCATAGCAGCAGCCTTTGCCTTGGCTTCTGCCTTGATCCTGTTCCTCTCTTCTCTGGCTGCCGGTTTCCCATAATCCACACTCAGGCCAGCAGTGGGATCAGGCAGTGGGCCTGCTGTGCCTGCTGCATCAGGAACAGACTGCGGGCCTGTTGGACCGTCAACAAGCTTGCACATGGCCTGCAATTTACTGCTCTCTGCAGCAGCCAGCTTCCCATCAAGTTCGACACGCAGAGCTTTAGACTGTTGCTCTTCCCGTTCCTTCCTCAGTTCATCTTTTGAAGGATCCTGGAAAAGAGCTTTGCGAGGATTTGAAGCAGCTCCACAAAGCCCACTGTTGATGATATAAACCATGCACTACCTTAATGACCTTGCCTTAGACTGTGGGAATTATGGTATATTCCTTATTATGAGTAATTAAGGATTTATATCATACCCTAAGCCCTAAGCCACAAGCCCGAAAACCCCGAACCCTAAACCCTAAAAGCCCTAAGCCCATATTATGGGTAATGCAGATTCATATCACCAACCATACAGTACTCCCCATAAAGTTGGAAA